GGTGACAACATGAAATGTTCTTCCCAATTATTAACAGAAAAAAAGCAAGGAATCCAAATAAAAAAGAGAACATTAATAATTAAAAAAGGACAATAAAATTGACCGTTGGGTGTCCCTCCAGAGAAATCTTGTTTGTTTGCATGTAAAAAATAAGGTCCCACGTTGCCTCTCCTAGTCGCCAACACAAAAATGACAAAAGCAAATTTCACAGCATTCAATACAATATGGTCCTAAATGCTATCGTATCCAAACAAGCTGCAAAAAGCCTACAAGTTACAGGACGCTAACGGTAACAAAATTACAAGGCTAAACATCCTCTATGGTCCCTATACTTATAAAATTTACTTTTGAAACCTCTTATTTTAAGTTGTATCAAATCAATCCTTCAATTTCCAATTAAAAGAAGTGATTTTAACCTTTCCTCCAAAAATTTTAATAGTTTTCACACTATCCATAAACAAGTTAGAGAGTCTGTCGATTACGCAAAATACATAAGAAGATTTTATTTTTAAAAAATATGATTTTATCTATGAAAATAAAATATAAAATATAAAAAGACAGCTAAATTGATTTTTTTTTCAGAACTACCTTCCTGATGTAAATTTTTTTGACTTATGTATCTATATTTAATTAATTATATTCTACAACTCAATGGTAACTTAAGATTGGTGTATAATAATAATAAAAAAACTAGTAATTAAACACTTTATTAATATAAATTTCTTTACATATTAATTTGTATTTAAAACTTTGCAGCTCAATAATAAGTCAAAATCAATGTATAATCTTTTTAATTTTATAGATTTAAACAGCTAGGTAAACATTAGGTAATATAATATAATTGGACGTAGGATCTCAAATTGCCTATGATTGAGAGAGAGAGAGAGAGAGAGAAGTTGATTTGATTTAACTTAAAGAAGAAGGTTCATTTAGTAAAATATGCAAAAATATAGGGAGCATATAATGATATTTAACAAATTTAGAAACATCTAAACGGAACAACATCAGACAACACATTTTTTGTCTAGCCATTGGGTTTCTTACACAAAAAAGTCTTTTACGTTACACTTAACCATGCTCTGCTTTGTTCACTGTGTAAAAAGTTGCAGATGATATCTTCACCGTTCATTCTCTGACCTCCCCCTCTCTCTCTACTTCCCTTATTTTCTCGTTTCTTTACCCACTCCTTTTTATTGGCCTTCTTTGCTAATACCATTTTCACACTCACTCTCTCACTCTCTTTCCCTCTGTACATTCTTGGGGTTTCATTTTTTAGTTTCTTTAGAGAATGTTTTGTAAGATGGAGTCTGTGCTTGTGCTTATACTTCTGCTTTTAGTTGCAGTGTTTTCTTTTGTTGCTGCTGATGATGGTAAGTGTTTCTTGCCCTATTTTTCAAGTCTCCCACTTCGTGCATTCTTTCTGCCATGGTTAGATTGTCTACCTGTTCTTGCCTGCGTTAAAAGATTTGTCCTTGTAGGAAATTTTGTGTGGTGATTGAAATGTGAAGGTAATTAGCAAAATCTTAAGTGGGTTTTGTGAAAAAAGCTTCAAAGATTGCAGCTGTGACTGTTGTTGTGCATCTGTGATTGCTTGTGTGTGAGGGTAGTTGGTTAGATATTAAATTAGGACATAAAAGAATGACAGAGGGGAAGTTGGGACCTGGGGGCTTTAATTTAATGTTCCTCATTTTGTGCTGAATGTTCTGTAATTAAATGGAAGTAAAGGGTTTTTATTTCTATTCTTTTAACATTCTGTCATTAAATGTTTGTGTATTGTGGAGGCCAGCTGGTTCTAGATTTCGTTTTCCTCCTGGGTCCTCCTTGCTACTGTATCTAAACATGACCATGTTGAAAACTTGGCCCTGTCTTTGTGCATTATCTCCTAAATGCCCACTTCTTCATAATATAAATAAGGTTTTTTTTTTTTTTTTTTTTTGTTTTACCCTCTTGTTTTTTGGTATAGAGAATTAGAGATAGGTTCTGTCTTGGTAGTGCAAATGGTCAAAGTTGAGAGAATTAAAGTCCCTTTTTTAGGACTTGAAAGCTGGGTTAGGCATGGGTGGGAATTACCACTATATTCTTTTTCTTTTTTGTTTCTCTCTTTCCCCTTTACATCCTTCCTTTTGTCTCCCATGCTTCATTCTTGTATCTTAAATATGTGTATGGAAAAAGTCCATCCCCATCAACAATTTGTGCATGCATTTGTAAATGAACTTATGTTTGTTTTCTGTGTCTATGAAACTTCTTCATTGATAACATCAGCATGATATGTGCATGCGTCTGTATGTCTAGAGCCTTGTAGTTTATAGTTTCTTCAGCTACCTTTCTTTTCTCTGCGAAGCAGACAAGAACTCAAAAGGCTAAAACCAATCCCATTCCCATGCTATACCTGTATGTCTTTGTGGCGGGAAGCATCCCCACTACAATGACAACTGGGCCTTTAAGATGTCATTTATATATTGAAAGTTCTCTGTTAGCTGTTTTTTTTTCCTTCCCCACCCTTTTAAACTTAACATGCTAGTAATGAAATGAAAGTGTCGGAGCGTGAGATCAAAAATCAGGTAGCTATGGATCAAACTACCAAGGTCAAATGATAAGAAGGTTTTTATTGTGCCTGGTAGGATGACAAACCTTTTGAAAAAAGCAATGCAAGCAAAGCAAAGTTTCAAATACAGACCCCTTATTATGTGGATGTTGTCTACTGTCTAGTTTCCTCCTACATTAGTTATTACTAAGGTGTAAACGTAGGTTTTCTGGAGAACAAGGGTTTTTATTTTTAAATATTGAGTGTTTCTGCAAATGGTATTATCCCATTGAGAATAAGAAGACAAGAAGATAGTGGAATCAGCCTAAAAATAGATGCATTATCCTAGCACACTACTTTCTTTCTCACGAATATCCTTCTGCTTCACATGAAGGTGTGAGGTGCAAAGTATGGACAATAGGTTGATTGAATAACCATGGAACAAATGATGTTGCCTTGGAGCCTTAGAGTTGCAAGGCTAACAAGTTTTAGCTTTCTGCTTCCTTAATCATTTCATATAAGTTTTTATGTGCAATTTTTTATATCTGTTTTGTTTGGAGAGATTAGTGCGTACTATGGTTCTAAGAACAACATGTTTAGCCCAACTAATTTGATTCAACAAATTATCTTTCTAAGGCATAACGTTTCCACAATTTAATCTGATTCAATCAAGTAAATTGGGTAAATCATGGTGTTCTTAAGATGGTCCTATACAATAATCTCTTGTTGTGTTGAGTTCAGTCACACATTTCAGCTAGGATTCAATCCCAATTAAAAAGGAAAAAGAAAAGGCTGAGAAGTTTATCGTACTTAAGTTCTGATTGGTGGTATCCCACTAGTTAAAGTGTGAGCCCATCCACCATTCTTATCAACAATACTTTTGTTAGCAAGAGCTAACAACTCTTGCCGGCAATCTAGGTGGTAAGTGAGTCCAAGCTGTAACTAGTGGTTTGTCGCTAATTACAGTTCCAACTCTGTAGAATTACTGAATTAGGGTGTTGCTAGGAATAGCAGGTTGCGAAAGTTAATTTGCCAAAAATGTATGAGTTGAGTCACCCAAGCTGTCCATAAGACCATCCAACCAATAATTTCTTAGGACTTGTGGCTGATCAAGGAACTAGTCTTGTGAGAAGCCAATTCTCGCTTTTTTTGCATAACAAAAGAATAAAGTGAGAGAGTGAAAAGTTGGCAGCTAGAAGAGGTGAAAATTCTATGATTCAAGTAAAAAATTGAACTGCGATTTTAAGACTGAGTTTGATGAAATTTTACAAATATTTTAGCTTGAAAGACCATCTGATTTTGGCTTTTCTCCCATGAACTACTTTCTGGTTTACCTTAATTATTCAAAATCATTTTTTTTCCCTTTCTGTTTATGTTTTTAATTGAGAATGGGTCTCATCTCACAAATTAGGAGTGAAGCTGGTCACTTGCTAGGTCATTATAAACTTAGGCAGGACATTATTCCATTATCCTAATAGAGCTGGACATTAATTTATTATAAAAAAATCAATTAAGACGGCTACTGGGGCTACTTGAAATTGCAAGGTCCCTCGTATAGGCATCACATCACATATTTAATAAAAAAGCAGGCGTAGGTTTTTGGTGAAACTGTCCTGGTTTTGATGTGTGCCCTTCTTAGCATTATGAGCTTTTCAACGAAGTTAGCTTAGCCTAGTTTTCAGACCTTATAACTTGTGTAGGTTAGAGCGTCATAACATCATGCTTATCGCATTTTTTTTGGCATACATTAGAAGAAAAATATGAAAATGTTTGAAACTAATAACACCTTGTGATTTGATCATTTTCCATTTCAGCAATGGAAGTTTATTTATTTATACTTGAGATCACAACATCATGCTTATTGCATTTTTTGGCATGCATTAGAAGAAAAATATAAAGACGTTTGAAACTAATAACACCTTGTGATTTGATCATTTTCCATTTCAGCAATGGAAGTTTATCTATTTATACTTAAGTGACTTGTGTTTATGACCAAGCTCTTCATTTAGGTCAAGAAAAAATTGGTGATGCTAAAAAGTGCCGAGTGTTGCCTGTATACTGTTTCCTTGTAGTGATAAGGATACAATTGGCAATGCCTTTCTAGACTTCTAGTGACACAAGAATAAAAAGTGTTGCCATTTTCATGTTGCTAACAGAGTCGCTTTAGCATTGAGTTCTGTACATTTTACTCATCCAAAAAATTCTGTGTAGCAAAGATGCATTTGCATATTATGGCATTCTAATCCTGATCTAGGCCTATGTTTAGAAATTTTTCTTGTATTTTTCTTTTTTCCATTATAAGGCTAAACATGGGCTAGTTAATTGAATTGTATTTTCACATTCCCGATCTCAATAGCTTACATTTTCTGTACTGAATCTTCTGGAGTAGGGATTTGAGGGCTTGTATTGCTCTGTTTTATCCCCTTAAGCAACATTTGCATTTGCATAATTTCAATTTTCCACATGTTGGTAATGCATGTTTGACATAGATGCAATATTACAATATTTTGTTATCTTTCATGCAGAAGGATTCATTGGTGTTAACATAGGAACAGACCTTTCTGACATGCCACACCCAACTCAAGTAGTAGCCCTCCTCAAGGCTCAACAGATCAGACACGTCCGACTCTATAACGCTGACCGTGGCATGCTAGTTGCACTTGCAAATACAGGCATTCAGGTCATGGTCTCTGTTCCCAATGATCAGCTGCTGGGAATTGGTCAATCAAATTCCACTGCTGCTAATTGGGTTTCGCATAATGTTGTAGCTCATGTCCCAGCTACAAACATCACAGCCATTTGTGTAGGTTCTGAAGTTTTCACTACCATTCCCAATGCTGCGCCAGTCCTTGTCAATGCCATGAAGTACATTCAATCAGCCCTTGTTGCATCCAATCTAGATCGCCAAATCAAAGTTTCAACACCCCTTTCTTCCTCTATTATCCTTGATTCCTTCCCACCATCCCAAGCCTTCTTTAACAAATCATGGAATCCTGTTTTGATTCCCATACTCAATTTCTTGCAGTCTACTGGGTCACACTTGATGCTCAATGTATACCCTTACTATGACTACATGCAATCAAATGGCGTAATTCCATTAGATTATGCACTTTTGAAGCCTCTTGCTCCAAACAAGGAAGCTGTTGATGCTAACACACTTGTTCACTATTCCAATGTCTTTGATGCTATGATTGATGCAACATACTTCGCCATGGACTTTCTAAACTTCACTAACATTCCTGTCATGGTAACTGAATCTGGCTGGCCATCAAAAGGTGATTCCAATGAGCCGGATGCTACCATAGATAATGCCAACACTTACAACAGTAATTTGATTAGGCATGTGCTGAACAAAACGGGAACTCCCAAACACCCTGGAGTTGCGGTTAGTACGTACATTTATGAGCTTTATAACGAAGATTTGAAACCCGGGCCAGTCTCTGAGAAGAATTGGGGATTGTTTAATGCAAATGGGGAGCCTGTTTACATATTGCATCTGACCGGGTCAGGTTTAGTGTTGGCAAATGACACTACGAACCAAACATACTGTACTGCAAGGGAAGGCGCTGATCCAAAGATGCTTCAAGCTGCTTTGGATTGGGCATGTGGACCTGGCAAGGTTGATTGCTCTGCTATGTTGCAGGGAGAACCGTGTTACGAACCAGACAATGTGATTGCACATGCAACTTTTGCGTTTAACAGTTACTATAATCAGATGGGGAAGGCTCCTGGGACATGTGATTTTAATGGTGTGGCTGCTATCACCACTACAAATCCAAGTAAGATTGTACTTGCTTTAACAATCCACTGTAAATTTCTTTTTTATGTTTGTTTCTGTTTCTTTTTGTTGATTTTTTGGCGGTGTTAGTGTCATGTTGCACGAGCAATTTCTGAAGTTCTAATGAGCTATTTGATTCAATGGCAGGTCATGGTACCTGTATATTCCCAGGAAGGTATGCAAAATAACCAGTCCTGCCTATGTTTCCATCACTTGCATTTGCATGCTAATTATTTTTAGATTTTTTCTTCCTTTACGAGCATGAGATAATCAATTAGGCATGGTCAAGCTTCTGTGATGAAAGGCCCCATTTTCTAATGTTTATTTGAACCTTGCATGCAGCACCGGCAAGATAAATGGTACCATGGTAAATATTACAGCCCCATCGATGAATTCCACGAGTTCGGCTCCTTCTGCCCGAAATCTTTACAACATTGGTTATATGAGCTTCATAGTGCTTCTCAGAGTTCTAATCTGTAGCATATTTTTCTTGTAAACTGGTATGTGCTGAAATCTTTTGCAACACCAAAAATTTTGAGACAGATTGTTCTTCTAGGAGGAAATGTTTTCCTTTGTCTTGGTGGAGGTTTAGATGGTCGGCAGTAGGGGAATGGGTGCATTGAATTTTTGTACAAAAGAAATTGGAGAAGAGCCTGAACTTAGTTTGGCATCAACTGTTATTATTCTTTTTAATGGAAAGATGTGATATTTATCCTTCTGAGTGTAATGGGCCACCAACTCTTTTTAATTCTGTCAAACCTTTTGAAAGTTTTGGATGATAGTAAAGTGGCAGAAATTTGTTAATTGATCTCCAAACGAATCTTTGGTTGCAAGGAAAAGGCTCAAACTCAGAAGCCTTAAGCCACGAACTCGTTCGAGAGATAGGATTTCCGAACTCGACATCAATCGAGATTGGATATCCCAAAACGAAAGCTTGAACTCGTGAGCACTCGGATACTGGTGGACAAAACCAAGACATTTGAACACTGCTCATGGGGTTTCGAAGAGATCCAGTTAGCATGTTACAAATAACCATTTCCTTCGTGATGTGCACTGCTTAGTAGTTAATGAAATTCTGGAGATATCTATTCCTGCCAAGTGTCACCAGCCATTACCAGCCAAATCAACCTTTTCAGATGTTGACAGAATTAAATGTTTATGTTTCTAACCATAAGCAAATCTGACAAGGATGTAAAGCTGTAAAATAGAATTAATGAATCCCAACTGCTAACGAATACTCTAGCCACCTAGTAACAAATGTCTTAATTTCATACACCTGCACTTGCCTATTTAAACACCATTCGTCAGGGACTTGGTCCTCACTCGCTCATCAGCATCCAAGGGCAGTAGTCTCTAATAATACTCTAAAATCATACTATAACACTAGGTTCTAATTTGGTAGTCAGATAATGGCGTCTTCCAGGAGCTTGAAGCTGGCATATGCCATGCTTATAGTGATGGTAGTTGGTGCACCCCTAGCACAAGCAGCCATCTCATGTGGTCAAGTCACAAGCAGCTTGTCACAATGCATAGGCTACCTCCAGAGAGGTGGGGCTGTGCCTCCACCTTGCTGCGGTGGGATCAAATCTCTCAATTCTCAAGCCAGGACCACCCCTGACCGCCAAGGGGTTTGCAACTGTTTGAAATCCTTGGCTGGTCGGGTCTCTGGTATCAACTATGGCTACGCTGCTGGCCTCCCTTCCAAGTGTGGCGTATCCGTTCCCTACAAAATCAGCCCTTCCACTGATTGCTCCAGGTACCTATTCTCTGCTTCTTCTCTACATGCATATATAGCACAAGAAACACTATGAAATTAACTATTCAATATTCAATTTCTGCATGCATATGTTCTTTTAACGAATCAGAACATTATAGGAAAATTGACACCCCATCTTTTTTATTTTTTACTTTTTTTTGCAGAGTGAGATGAAGAATTGGAGAAGCAATTTTCAGCAGGGTATGAAGTATAGTGATAAGCTAGTGCTAGAATAAAAGGGGTGCTCCAGCCTTTTTGAGATAATTCCCCTCCGAGGGACTTAGAGTCTCTTTCTTATGAGTTTGTACGTAAATATAATATTGTATGCATCATGTGTGAGTGGAAAAAATATATAGTTTACTGCTATATATATATTGCATGCTTTATCTGATATTCTGCCTCTTTTTCATCTTCTACACCAAATACAGCAGTTAATCCAAGATCTTTATGAATAAGGAACTCAGTATAGAGAAACATGAGTTGGATTTGTTCAAAATGATAAGAAATCTAACGAAAATACTATTGGGTTAATTGAATGTTTGTCAATTAATAAGTCCTTTAAGCGAAAATCGTTGTAGATTTTTTTGCAGTAAACATTAATTTGTGTTTAAATAGGGGTTCTTTATTGTATGAAATAGGTAATTTAATTAGATGGGAAAATATTAACTGTTTTGGATCCGATGAGGGACGAAATTGAGAATTTCTCATGGTATAATAGAGATTTGATTGAGAAAAAAAATTAATAACCTTAATGAGTTTATGTTTTTACATAAGCATGATTGTTGATATATTTATACTAGATGTGTCATTTTACAAAACGAGCATTCACCATTAGCGATATGTTTATACACAATTCTCTTTTTGACCTAATGGAATATCTTACTAAAAGGCTGGGAGATGAAATTACATTCAAAATATAGAAGGATGGATGCATCAGTACCTTCAAGAGAATACTCCATGAGAGGAAGTCAATTACAATTATGAGAATCAAACCAAACTTCACTAATAAAAAAAGACTGAGAGTATATAATAAATAAATGGACCATAGGAGGTCAATTACAACTATAAGAATTAAACCAACCTCTATAAGAATTAAACCAACCTCTATCAATCGAAAAAGATAGAAAGTACATAATAAATGAATGAACCATTTCACTAATTTGATTTTTTTTTTTATACTACAACCTAGTTTTCTATCAATTTTCTCTTTAGTTACACTAATTTGATTGTTGGAGAATTTTTTATATAAAAAAATAAAAATAAAAATTGTTGTATTCAATTCAACATGACCACTGCCCATCACCAAACACTATCATCCTATCAACAATCATAAAAGAATCACACCATCTTTTAAGGAATCAATAAACTTAGTAAATACATGTTCATTAAATTTAAGTTAGTGAGTTCAAAGTGAATGGTCATGATTTAGCATACGATAGAAATTAAAAAAAAAAAATTAATATCTTAAAAAAAAATTTCTTTAATCTAATTTGGATTATAAGATGCAAAATTAACAATGAAATTTAGAATATAATCGATTATATTTTCTTAAAAACATAAAAAGATCCAAATCCCTATTAAAATATATGAATTGGCTTTTTTAAAAAGTTTGAGTTGACTCCTTTTTACAAGTTTCTTAGCATAGCTAGTCTTGACATACAACCTTATCAGAATCCTAATATCTCCAGCGAAATTTCCTTACAATTGTAGAGCATATATATATATATAGCCAAAAGTGCGCATTTGTTCAATTGGAGAGCAAATTGATTGCACCCTCTCACCCAGCCGAAGCAGCGGCAAAGGTGCTTTCCTCCTGCCCATCCGATGGAACCCATATACTCTATCTGATCACCCAAAGGAATGGTTGTCCTGCCATCTCCAACCCATGTGGGCTCCTCTTTTCATTTTTTTTTTTTTCTGTTTGCTGGAAAAAATTGTGTATGTTATGTTGCAATATGACAATTTTAGATTTTTATTATTATTAATTAACGCAATTTGATTTTTAAATTATTACTTTTTTTATAAATTTTATCTAAATTTGTTAATTGTTGATCGTTAATTTATTTCTATTGTGTTTTCTCGTTAATCTTTTTTAAAAAAGATATTAAAAATGTTTATTATTCAAGAGAAATTCTTTCTATTTAAAATTTTCACATATTAATCCCTTTAATTTTTCATAGCCAATCAAATTATTATTTGTATATAATATTTTTCAATAAAAAAATTATGTAGTATCATTATCTATTAAAATAATCAATTCTATAATTAATAAAATATAAATATTTATTGATTGAATTTGATCGATGAAAATTATCAAATAATTAATTTTAACTAAAACTTTTTTTTGTCATGTCAATACATTTATTCTTATGATTGTCGATCATTAAATTTTAAATACAAATTTATTTATTTATTTATTTCCATATGTTGTATAGGATTTTTTTTTTCAATCGATTCAAATGTATAATATGAATTTAAAATTATTAAAGTAAGAAAATCATTTTTTAAAACTTTTCATGTTAGAGTTAGACCTTCATCGATTAATTCACATGCGTTTCATAGGACGGCAACACAAGTGTATGTACTTAAGTCGAGTGTTTGTTTGGGGGAAAACAAGTTCGAAGCACTTGTTTTCCCCATTTTACAATGTTTGTTCCCTGTTTAGGAAAAAAGTCAACAAACAATGATTTTTAGTCAACGAAAAATGATAGAGTAGTTTTAGAAAAATGTTTTCTTAGTTAAAAATGAGGAGAACATTTTCTTTCTCACAAGCTATCTCGCTCTCACGTTACTTATCTCTCTCTCGATATATCTTAATAATTTTTTTCTATATCTTCCTTTTATTTAAAATATATCAAATTAATTTTTAATTATTCCTTATTTATTTATTTATTCTCTATGTAACGCTCCCGCCACGATCATATTTCTACTACCCAAGTAGGGTATCGGACAAAGCGCATTATCCCGACATACCCTAAACTCTAAGTAGTTCTCTTATAATATTCTTAATACTTTAACAAGACATTACGTATATAACTCCTTAAGATAAAATTTACATAACATAATTAAATACATCAATAAAACATTACGAGAAAATATTCAATTTCTCATGAACTCCATACCCCAAATTTACGTAAAAAATAAAAACTAATATATGGTGCCTCACATGAGCCGGTTAGGAGGAGCCGACCGCATCCGTACCAATTTGTCCTTTTCCGTCACGACATAAAAATAACAACGTGGTTGAGCCGAAGCTCGGTAAGTGAGGTGATACACGTGATATGCAATGTTGTTTTGACTTCTCATCATTCTCATAAATTTTAATCTCGGTACCTTGGGTATTAGCAAGTCTACTCTATTTATCATCCGGGTGGTCCGCGGATCACCTTCGCTACAACGGAATTATCCCTTATGGTAACTACCGTTAGCGAGAATTCATTGTCTAACAAGTACAAGCACACAGCCTTGATTTCATCCGAGATGATCCTCGGATCATCTTCTCGCTATAATGGAATTATCTCTCGTTGTAACTACTATTAACGGGAATCCATCGTCTAATAGTGCGGGCACACGACCTAGAGTACTAGACTACTAATACCTATTTATTCCGAGTTAGGTTATCGGACCTAAATGTATAAACTATTTCTCAATCAATTGACTTGTCTTAAACCACCCATTATGCACATGATGCACGTGATGCTATGTTTACCATGTTAAACGTACTAGGGGCACTAACCTTACACTACGGGGTCCCGTAGGATTGACCCACACGGGGTTTTCATACATTTCCATACCATTTCTACACTCGTATTCCCTTAAGGAGGGCCCATCACCGCTAACTAGTAATAGTCCGGCCACCAATTTTCTTTTGCGCGTGGGCACGCTTTCTCGCTTATTTTCGGTGAGATTCGTCATTTCACTTGATTTATGTGGCCATTGATTTTAAGGGTTGCTTTGTGGCATACCAAGATAAAATTCTATTATAGATACTATAAAATCATTACTCATAAGACTCGGATGGTCGAGACTAACTAATCCGTAAGTACCAAATTAGGATTTCTTTCCTAACCCTAACTTGGGTATTTATAGTAGAATTTTGTCCCCAATGGGCCTAGGTCATGTATTCGATTTTACTCTTGAATTCTTACCTCTTAGTATTTTATTTTACACTTGTTTGAATGTAATTTAACTCTTAATCACAAGGTTGAAAGGTCATAAAGTCCTAAAAATAGCCTAAGGTTTCCCTTCTATTTTTATTAAATCTCTTCCACTCTAGCTTATTATTTTGCACTTAATTGGATTGCTAGTGGTTGTAGGCCTTAAAGTTCATAAAAGAAATCCAATTGTGCTCACTTTGGGATTCCTAGGCCGATTGGGTTTTTAAGAAAGCCCTAACATTCCTTTATTTCTCTACCAATTTCTTCATCCCCATTTTCGGTCCAAGTCTTTAAATTTTTTTTTTATCCCACAATCATCAACACCCGATAAAATATACACTAGGCATGATAGACTTTAAGGAGTACATAGAGACAATATAACCAATAAATTCAAACCAAGCCATCCACACCAAGCCAATACAAATCAAACCATAACAATACAAGCGATAACTTAATTAAATACATGAATTAAATTCATAGAAAGAACAAGCATGAAGTAAAACCCACTTACCTAGCTTAGATGTGGTTAGGTTGTTGTTGTTTTGTTTTGTTTTGTTTTGTTTTGTTTTTTTGTTTTTTTTGCTTTTCCTTTCCCTTCCTTTCTCTCCTCACATTTTTTCTTTCTTTCTTTTCTTTCTTGCCTTTTCTCTCCCAATTTTTGGCACCTACGGGTTGCTAAAATTTTTCTCCCATTTTAACACTTGCTCTATATATATATACTTACTTACTTCCCTTCAGCTACAATATTAGAAATTAATGACACAAAGTGTAAAAGTTATGGGTGAGTCATGGGGAAAGGTGACTCGCTTTGGGACCATAATGTGTGAGTTGGCATTAAATTCATTTATTGCATTTGATTAGGTGTCTACATAAAATTTAGACTAATTAAACTCACTAATTAACTTAATTCAAGTAACTAAACCTACTTTCTTTCATAAAAAATTCGAAAATTTCCATTTTTAAAATTCAAAATTTCTTTTTGCCCAAAATTTCAGCAGTGTTACCTCCTAACCCATCTATACTAAAATATGCATAACTCTTTCTATATATATCCAACAATTATGTAATTTTATACAGAG